CAAAAGCTAAAATATTCAGATTAAAATTACTTCAACTTCCTAAGCATCTAGGTATGCTTGCCTAAAGAAGAATGCTTTTAGCAGGTGCCCAAAAAAAGTCTAGCAAAGGCACATGCTTTGTTGAAATTTCATCCTTCACGACATAGGAAAACGGCCAAATAAACAGCTATTTTCGTGGAGGGGGGTCAAGATATTAACTGATATGCATGAACTTTCATATGTAACTACATATGTAGTGTAGTAAGATAAGACCTTCGGAGCAGGCATTTTTTTAAAAAAGTTTTTTATGAACTGCCCTAGTGGAGCAGTAATTGTTCCTTGATAATTTGTCACACACACCCCCATGATCACACCTGGGGCGGCCCACCCACCCCCCTTTCCTACGCCCCTGATTGTGGAGCTTATCCACAAATATAATACAGGTTCTTTAAAAATCATAGTCTTATTGCCTCTTCTTGTGATTGTATCATCAGTCTTAACTGTAGCTTTCTTAAAGTCTTGGCATTTGGAGAATACATTCATTTTTTTTTTTTTTTTTATAATATTTTTTATTGCATTTTTCCAGATAGAAATACAAGGTCAGATATACAAAGAAATAACAGAAAAAAGAAAGAAAAAGAAGAAAATCATCTTTTCAAAGCATTTTTCCATAACCAACCGGACTTCCCCCCGTCCCCCTCACCTTGCGTTCTTTACAATAAAATTTTTCAGCAAATTATAACCTTATTTCGTGCATTCTTTTGTTCTTTCAAATACTTGTGATTTACGTTTAAAATGCTTATTGTCAATTTGCACTAATAATATATATAATGTTCTTTTAAACGTTAGTCTTTTCATTAAAATAGCTTAGTTTCCCATACCTTAATCTTATTGCTGGAGCTGAATTTCCCTAATCATGCGAAATCTTAACATTCATATAACTTATAAAATTTTTGTAAATAATCTTTAAATTTTTTCCAATCCTCCTCCATTGCTTCTTCCTCCAAATCTCGGATCCTGGCAGTCATCTCAGCCAATTCCATGTAGCCCATCAATTGCGTCTGCCACTCTTCCAGTGTGGGTAAATCTTGAGTCTTCCAGTGTTTTGCGATAAGAATTCTTGCTGCTGTAGTTGCATACATAAAAAGGTTCTATCCTTCTTTAACACCTTCTGACCGACAATGCCCAGTAGGAAGGCCTCTGGTTTCTTGGGAAAAGTGTACTTAAACACTTTTTTAACTCATTATAGATCATTTCCCAGAAGGCCTTCACTTTTGGGCAAGTCCACCAGAGGTGAAAGAATGTCCCTTCAGCCTCCTTACATTTCCAACATTTATTATCAGACAAATGATATATCTTAGCTAGCTTGACTGGGGTCATGTACCACCTGTATATCATTTTCATAATATTCTCTTTCAAGGCATTACATGCCGTGAATTTCATACCAGTGGTCCATAACCTTTCCCAGTCTTCAAACATAATGTTGTACCCAATGTCCTGAGCCCATTTTATCATGGCTGATTTGACTGTCTCATCCTGAGTGTTCCATTTAAGCAGCAAGATATACATTCTCGAAAGTACCTTGGTCTTTGGTTCCAACAATTCTGTCTCTAGTTTCGATTTTTCCACCTGGAAACCTATTCTTTTGTCCAACTTGAAAACCTCTTGAATTTGAGCATAGTGAAGCCAATTTTGCACCTTATTCTTTAATTTTTCATAACTCTGCAGCCTCCAAGTTTCTCCTACTTTTTCTATAATTTCCCCATATTTCAGCCAACCAACCTCCATATTAGGTTTTTTCCGGGCCTTGGCCTCTGCTGGTGAAAGCCACCTCGGAGTCTTACCCTCTAATAAGTCCTTGTATTTTGTCCAGACCATAAATATTGATTTTCTAACAATATGATTTTTGAACATTTTATGAACCTTTACCTTGTCGTACCACAAATATGCATGCCAGCCAAAAGCATTATCAAACCCTTCCAGATCTAGAACATCAGTGTTCTCAAGAAGTAACCAATCTTTCATCCAGCAGAAGGCCGCAGCTTCATAATATATTCTCAAGTCCGGCAGGGCAAACCCCCCTCTTTCTTTCAAATCAGTTAGTATTTTAAACTTTATCCGGGGCTTTTGCCCTGCCAAACAAACTTAGATATATCCTTCTGCCACTTTCCAAAACATTCCACTCTGTCCACAATCTGTAGGGTTTGAAACAAAAATAACATTTTCGGCAATACATTCATTTTTATAGCTGCAATTCGACCCAACAAGGAAAGTTTCAATCTTGACCAGATTTCCAAATCTTTTTTGATTTCCAGCCAACATTTTTCATAGTTGTCTTTAAATAGATTCAAATTTTTCGCTGACAAGTGAACCCCTAGGTATTTTACTTTTTTTACCACACTTAGTTCTGTTTCCTTCTGAAACCCATCTATTTCTGAGGGTGTCAAGTTTTTCCCCAAAACCTTAGTTTTTGCTTATTCAACTTAAATCCCGCCACCCGACCAAACTCATGAATCAATTCTAATACTCTTTTTGTACTAGATTCTGGCTCCTGTAATGTTAAAACCAAATCATCTGCAAAAGCTTTCAATTTATATTGTTTCACTCCGACCTGTATTCCTTGTATCAACCGGTCCTTCCTAATCATGTTCAGTAACACCTCCAGGACTGAAATAAATAAAAGAGGGGATAGGGGGCACCCTTGTCGTGTCCCTTTTTCAATTTTGAACTCATCTGTCACCACATTGTTCACTATCAGTTTAGCTTTTTGCTCAGAATAAATTGCTTCTATTCCATTTTCAAACCCCCGTCCCACTCCCATCCCTTCCAGGTTTCTCTTCATAAATATCCAAGAAATATTATCAAAGGCCTTCTCCGCATCGATGAAAATTAACACAGCTTTCGTATTGATATTAGTTTGTAAAAGTTCCAAAATATCAATAATGTTCCTGGTATTATCAAAAGATGTCTCCCTGGGAGAAAGCCTGCCTGGTCCTTATGAATTACTTCGTTAAGTATTTTTTAAGTCTGCTCGCCAAAATATCAGCAAAAATTTTGTAATCCACATTTAGGAGTGAGATGGGACGGTAGTTCTTAAGCTGAGTCTTTTCAGATTCCAATTTAGGAATCAATGTGATGAAAGCTTCTTTCCACGTTTCCGGTGCCCTCCTCCCCTCCATAATCTGGTTACAGACCTCCATTAGTGGTTGTATCAAATAGTCTTTTAGTGTCTTATAGTACTTGGAGGTAAGTCCATCTGGGCCTGGAGATTTGCCTAGTTGCATATTCTGAATGGCACCCTCTATTTCCTGTCGTGTTATTCTATTATTTAAGATTGTCCTCTTCTCCTGAGATAGTTTGGATAGACCGTTAACTTTTAAAAATTGATCTATCTCAGACACTTCCTGAGGCCCTTGAGTATAAAGTTTTTGAAATATTTCTGGAAACACTTTCTAATTTCTTCTGGTTTCTGAATGTTTCTCCCTTCCACCTCTAGATTAGTGACAAAGTTCAATTTTTGTCTCTTTTTCAACTGCCATGCTAGCAGTTTTCCACATTTATTTGCCGATTCAAATGATCTTTGTTTCATTTGTTTGATTTTCCATTCCACTTCTTGATTTATCAATTTCGCATATTGAGCTTGGTGGAATTTGATTTCTCTTAGAACCTCTTTTGATTTTGGTTTTAATCTCAATTTTTCTCTCCTTCTCTTATCTTCTCTAATATCCTATCTTTTTCCCATTCCAAAGTTTTTCTTGATTGTGTTCTGTTGTATCAGAAACCCCCTCATTACAGCTTTGCTTGCGTCCCAGATTGTTCTCTTTTCCACCGAAGTGTTCAAATTGATTTCAAAGTAGTCCTTTAAGGTTTTTTGGGCCTTCTTCACAATCTCCTGATCTCTTAGTAGGGTGTCATTCATTTTCCATCTGAAAGAACCGGTTGGAGTAAGTCTCAATTCTACTTTCAAAGCATTATGGTCGGAGCAAGTCTTTGGACAGATTTCCACTTTTCTGATCTTAGGTGCCAGTCCTCTAGTTGTCCATATTTGGTCGATTCTTGTCCATGATAGGTGGGCCTCAGAAAGAATGTTCCTTCTTTACCTAAGGGGTTCCTTGTCCTCCAAATATCAATCAAGTCCATGTTATCAGTTAGTTCAAAGAAGGTTTTAGGTAGTCTGCCGTCTTTAGTTAAATTTTGATTTTGTGACTTATCCATGTGAGTAGAAACCACCCCATTCATATCGCCCATCATTATGATGTTGGTATAGTCCAGATAGTCCAGCATTATCTCATGCAGCTTCTTGTAAAATTCCGATTTCCCCTCATTTGGTGCATATATTCCTAAAATCAAAAACTTTTCTCCTTGTGTTTGTATCTCAATTGCCAAAATTCTTCCTTGCTCATCTTTAAACAAAAATTTCGGTGACAGGTTCTCCTTTGCATAAATCACTACGCCTCTTTTCTTCACTTTGTCTGATGAAATAAATTCTTGGCCTAGTCTTTTGTTGATTAACACTTTCCTATGGAGCCTAGTCACATGCGTTTCTTGCAAGCAAACAATATCCAATTGTTCTTTTTTCAAAATATGAAAAATCCTTCGTCTTGTTTTCCGGGAGTTCCCGCCTATTTATATTCCAACTGTACAGCTGCAGAGACATTCTGAATCAATCTGTTGTTCCTATAGTGGGGTGTCTTCCTTTTCTTCTGGCCCCGAGGGTGTAGGTATCGGTGCTTTTCCAGGCAGTGGCGGTGGCCAAGAGGCTGCTGCTCCCTTCTGAAGGTCTTCTCCGTGGTCGTGCAGGAACTTCTGGTTATCTTCTGTTGTTTTAATCTTAATTTTCTTTCCTTTAAAATTAAAAGATAATCCTTGGGGAAACTCCCACCTATATGGAATCGCGTTTCCTCTCAGTAGTCTTGCTAGGTCTGTATATGTGGCTCTGAGATCCAAAAGTTGTTTAGGAATATCTCTATAAAATTCTGCTCTTTTGCCTTGGATATCAAGTGATTTCTTAAAGTGGAGGCCTAGTATTTTATCTCTCTCCTGCTTGGATCTCAAAATAATCAAACAGTCTCTGGGCTTGTCCCTCCTCACGACTCTTCCTAATCTAAACGCAGTTATGATCTTGAAATCTTTGTCCTCTTCTATACCCCAGAACTTGGAAAATTCTGCTGTCAGATAACCAATTAAATCTTCCTGTTCAAGCTCTGGGATAGCTCTTAATCTCAGATTGTTTTCCCGGTTTCTCAATTCCACCATAGACAGGTAAGCCTGCTGATCACTAATGTGCTTGTGTAGTGGCCTTACCTCCCTTTTATAGCCTCAACTTTTTGATTTGCTTGTTCTGCTTTTTCATTGGCTGCTTCAGCCAGTCTCCGATTTTCCACAGTTGCTTCCTTGAGATTCCCAATAACTTGTGTATGTTGTGCAACTTGGTCAGACAATTTAGTAATAGAGGATGTGGCTTGATCTATTTTTGCCGATTGGTCATCCACCTTCTTGTTCAATATTGCAAATTGTTCTAGCATTTGTTTTAAGAAGGTATCTGATCCTCCCTCTGCCATATCCTCTGATGCAGGCTGTGCAATTTCCTTTTCTTGTACTCCCAAAACAGCTGGGACAGATGATCTACGTGACTGAGTAGTCAAAGTTGTTTGCACAAGTTGGGCTTGTCTTGCTTTCGTTTTAGCAGCTCTTGTTTTCGGTTGGCCACTCATTCCACACCTGTCTATGAGTCAAGGTCAAGCTGTATATTGTCCCATGGGAAGGACAGTTCCAAAGTGTAAATAACAGAGCAGCAGATAGTACAAACAAAATTTGTTCCCAGGCACTTGTAATTCCAGAACTCCACTAGGGGGAGTATTACTGTAGTTCATAGAAAGGAAAGAACTTTATCCGCCATTAAAGTCCCTGCAGCCCCAAAACAGTCTAATTTACCAAAAGTCCTTCATAAACTTTTTTAGCTTACAGAGCACTTCCCAAGCTGCCACAAAGTCTCAGATAAAAGGTGCCAGTAACAGTTTATTTAATTGTATCTTGCCAGTATCACTCAACTGTAACAGTCTCTATTTTGGATACAGTTTCCGCAATGACAGCTCTCTTTTTTTCCTGTCAGTCCGAGGTTTGGTTCTTAATTCTTTATAATCCATAAAGGGGAGGAAAGTCCCATTTAAAGTCCAAAACACTTAGAAATAAAAGTCTTTTCTCCTTCTTTTTAAAAGCCAATTCTGTCAACACGATAGTCCCAAATTTATAATCTTTTAAAGCTGCTTCCCGCTTGTTAAAATCTTTGCCTTTGATCTTTAAAGCACTGCCGGAAGACGGACTTCCTGTTTATCGTCTCCCGCTTTCAGCCAAATTTAACCCTTTTAGTTCCAAAATGATTGATCCTTACTCACGAGTAGGTAGTTTACAGCCTGATGTTCCAAGAAGAAAGGTCGGCGCTCATCGGCAGCAGCCGCGCGGCTTCGCTCCCGCAGAAAGAGCGATGAACTCACAGCACCGCTCGCCCTTCCACGTTTCCGGAGCCCCGTACGGGGTTCCTTCTTCGTTTATGGGGTCGCTCCTGGTGCCCGCCGAGTCCCACGGCCACGGGCTCACTCTGCCCGTGGTTTTTCTTAATGGGTCCCCGCTGTGCCGCAGCGGACGACCCTTTTCTGCGGAGCCCCTCTTCAGAGACCGAAGAGGACCGCCATTGCCGTT